AAAAAAACAATAAAAATAAAAACAAACGTAAGAGGGACTCTTTTTCTTTTGGCTTTGCTAATATCACATCACAACCGCTCAGCATGACGATGATGCATGAAGATATGATTATGACCGAAAATAATCAAGTAAATTACGCAGTTTATTTTGATCCAATGATTGTGTGCTTTGTATGCCATAGAATGCTGAGTTTAAGACCTAGTATATACTATAGTGTAGGGATGTCAATATTTGACATGACCTAAAAATTCAGGGTTAGAGTCAACCCAGATCCAAAACGTGTCGGATTCAGGTTCAACAAGTCAAGCCGTTTCAAAAATCGAAACAGGTTGACCTGAAAACCCATTTTAACCCGAAAAATCAATTGACCAAATTTTTACCCAAAAAATTTGTAGGCCCTAGGTCATTTGGGTAGACATAGACTCAAAGCAGGTCAGGTTCGGGTCTTAAAAACTGACCTGTTTGCAAAAATAAGTCGGGTTCGAGTTGACCCAAATAGTGTCGGGTCAATTCCGAGTTTGACCCGAATCTGACCCGTGATCCAAAATTATCACCCCTACTATAGTGTGCGTGGATTTTTAATTAAATTGATAGCTAAAACTCCACACCAACAAACCAACCTAAGCTACGTGATTGATGCAACGTAGTTTGGAGTCATTTAGTAAATCAATCTCTGTTCAAGTAGAGTACATTGAACAAATTGGAATCAACAAATAATTGAACATATTCCCTATTCATCTTTTTGGTTTATGCCGAGGAAAAAAAAATCTCTCTCCAAATAGAGATCTCTAGCACAGTAACAAGTACAAATAACTTGAAATCGATGTCCATTATGAACAATTCTTCCAACAAACTCTGGCATAGCTCTGCCACATCTAACATTAATTTATTAAAGCAAATCTTATAGAGGACAATATGACAAGCGGCACTGGATTAACAAACAGTTTCTATAAGCTCATGATCATGTTTTCTTGTTTTTTTTGGAAAAGTTATAGGGCATTGCTCCAATTCCATTAATAAAAACTAATTACATGTGTAAAAAGAAAGGTATAAAGAACAAAAGAAGAGAAAAAAAAAACCCCTAGCAACCAAAAATTAGACAGCACCTTTCCACGCCAAAATACACATGACAAAAAGGAATAACATAAAAACAAAGAGTTGCAGAGAAAACAAATGGGCTTCATGATATAATCAGATTGCAGTCGCTGGATAAAGAACTGATAGCCATCACGGTAGCTGCAGAAAGAAACCCAATCCACATAAACCAGTGGAAACACAACATCCAGAAACCAAGGAATATATCCGAAATAAAAAATTAGACCCTTATAGGATCCAACAGTATATACCCATCTTTCCATTTGTAGACATTTGAAAAAATGATTTTTTTTTTTTTATCTTAAAACAGATCGTAGTGTAGCTAGAGGCAGATTAGCAAATCTCCTCTCGTTCCTTTCCCTCCACACATAATAAATAGTTCAGCATATGATGAGATAATAAAACCTTTTTGATCGTAAAGGAGTAGTGGGGCAGTTCTCAACCCAATCAAAAAGCTGTAACAAGTTCGGCCTAAGTAGAATCGAAGAGCATGCAAGGATCAAATAGGTGATAATGCTATGTGTGTAGGAGCAGTCAAAAAAAAGATGCGCAGAACTCTCGTTATAGGAGTGACACAAAGAACAGGAAAAATCTACCAAAATGTTGCGCCTATTGAGCTCCATAGCAGTTTTAAGCCCTCCCACAAGAGCCAGCCAGCTGAAAACCGAGTATCTCAAAACATGCCCCTTATGCCAAACAAATTTAGACCAATTACAAGCAGTATAGGGTTTATAAAACACCATCAGAAAATCCCTAAATTTAGCATGTTTTCCATGCAATGAAAATTAAAAAAAAAAAAAAAAGGAAAAGATTCGAGTCACCAATGAGCTCACAAAGTCCAAGTCACTCGAGCAATAACAAAGCCGGCACATTCTGAGAATAAAAAAGCTGTAAATCTTGGCGTACAATCCCAATGCTATTTTAACTTTGAATGAAATTTTGATTGTAGGAAACATTGAAGAATAAATTTCTATGGATAACCTTATAGATATGCATACAAGCCTCATATAATAAATGGCCGTAATCACAAGATGCGTTATCTTGCCTGGAGATTGTGAAGTAGCAGACAGCCTTCCAGAGCTGGACAAGCTTGCCGCTTGTTCTTTCAGTGTCTCTGCATTAAAATAACGAATGAAATAAAAACATTTCGAAAGAATACAAGGGGTAATATGGCTAGCTTAAATGGATATATATAATACAGACAGTAGAATAAAGCAAAGAAATGAAAAAAAAAAAATTCAATTTCCTGTGAGCTAACAACTCCATAGAGAAGGGGTAATAGAAGTGAAAGTACTTTGTGGCTCATTTGTTAAAGAAGATTATTGTATCTCCAGGTCATGAAATCTAGCTTATATACTTCACAATTTATCATCAATCATTCTGAAAAAAAACATAATAGAATACATTTTTTTTAATGTTGGTAAAAATTGCAGTTATTTTAAAAGTGAAGTACGGTAATGCCGTTCAAGTAAACATAAAATATATGAGAATGTAGTAGTTTTGTTACCATAACCTAAAAAGGTTTAATCAGGCTATTCACTATGATGCACAGACACGGTCACGGCGACACAGATACGACACGACACGGACACGGGACACGTTAGTTATTGAAAATATAAGACACGGACACGAGTTGTACACGGTATTATAGTTTTTATATTTAAAAAAGTGTATAAAAATTAAATAAGTATAATTTTAAAAATAACTTGAAAATAATAAGTCATTTAATTCTAATTTGTGCTTGAAATGATTAGTATTAGGATGTCGAGAGTCGGGTGTCGATGCCGTTTATCAGTCACTGAGAGATGAGATGAAAATACATTCACTGTAAAAAAGAAATGAAAATGAGAATATTCGATGATTGGACATTAAGTGCGGACGTTGATTTGATGTTGTGGATAAGAAATAAAAAATTTCGTTTAAATCCCGTCAAATACAAGAAATTATATTTAAAAAAAATTCATAAAATATTTAAGATACGCATGTCTAATTTGTATTTAATATTTTTTAATCGGACACGTTTTCGGTGTGTCCGACACGTGTCGGAGGAGTGTCGTGTCGGATACGGTATCGGACACTGCACGCCTCTTTGAGGAGAAGTGTCAGTGCATCATAGGCTATTCATGACTTGCGCTTGTACAAGTCACTTATTAACCTTTTAAGTATTTAGAGGACCATGTGAAAGAAAAAAATTATGATATATTCATTTAAATTATAACAAAAAAACTATTGTGCAATTAAGGACATTGGTGACTCATTAAACTATGAAGAAAAGGATCAAAATGGTCCCTTGACTCATTATACAAGACTAAAATAATCCTCAACTATATTAAGGGATCATTTTGATCCCTCAGGTCTTTAAAAATGAATCAAAATCTTTTTAAATAGTTGAAGGATCAAAATAGTGATTTAATATAATTGAGGATCATTTTAGTCATTCATAAAAAGTCAAATGATCATTTTGATAATTTTCTTTTAAACCATGTGACTTCTCAGGTCTTGTACTTATTTTTATTCATAGTCTTTTTTCCTTGCCTTCCTCTTTGAATCTTTTCCCACAATTGATACCAAAGCAAAGTTTCGGGGTTCTATGAGAAGAATAAGAGAAAATTGGGAGAACTGAATACTAAGAATGGATAGATATAGATTTGCAAGTTTGGTGGAAAGATTTTGGATACGAGAAGATGCAAACTAAAGATTTACCCCTCTAATGCAACAAAAATGGTTTGGGATGCATTAATTAGTAATACTAACAGTACCATTCTAACTAGGATCTTCATTTGAGGTGAATTTTTTCCTTCTACTTGACAAAGAGCTAATGTCTAATTATTTTGTATAAAGCCATGTAAAAGAATATCATTTTGATAATGTGTAATTAAGCATTATGAGAATGCAAGATATTAGTCACTGCCTATTAATAACCCTTTCCCCACCTTTGTAAACTCCACTAAAAAATATTAAGGAATATTCTGATTCTGGTAAATTCTAGACGTAATATTATATAGAACATTCTAAAAAAAAATTGATCATTTATATCTTTATGACCACCCTAATCTTACATTTATAAAACATCCTCATATTATTATAACAATGAAAAAAGATGATTGAATTTGTACAGCCTTAGATATAGGAAGAGTAATCTTCAAACCATATAAAATCCCTTTCTTTGTGAATATCTTGTGAGTTTTCTTTTATTCTTACAATTTCATTCTTAACAATTCTAATCAAAGCTTTGTTATTGGAGCATAATTGGAGAGAGCGAAATAATAAGGAAATGTGAAGATTGGAATATTTGATGGATATAATTAGGTTTTCTGATGTTGCATATCGAATATAATTTGTATTCAGAGAAGTTGCATCAGCCTCTTCTAAGAGAGCTCTTAGAGCAAATGTCCAACAAAAAATTGGAGATTTTGGATGGACAAAGCCTAAAAGTCCTTCATTTGACAATCGCACTTCAAATGTTAAAAATGAAAAGAAAAAGGTAAAGGTTGTTAAGTTGTTGTCAGGCATGTACAAAAAATGCTTTCTCAAATAAGATACATCTAATGTGGTGCATTTGAATTTGAAGTGCATGATAGTGCTTCTATTTAGATAACAATAATGAGATAAACTCAATTATCAATTTGCGGAGTTCGTAAAAAAAAAATCAAGCACTAATTATATAATCCACCTTAACATATAGTAAATATGGTAAAATTATCAAAGTATTTATTTTGGAAGAAGAAAGTTGGAGCTTCATGAGTCCTAGTCTCCTAGATGTAATACAGAGTGAGAATAATCAGATTAAAGAAAACGATGAAACTTCAAGATTCACCTTGAGTACTAAGGCGAGGCAAGGGCAACTCATTATTATGAAGAATGAAGTACATCAAAATTCCGAAAAGGAAAAGCTTAAGATTTAATGGTATAAGATGCCTAAAATAAGATCGTAAGCAGAAGAAGAAAATCAAAATAAAGACTGCTAATGTTGCAAACTGATGAGATTGAAAATGACTTAATTCTAAAAGTTTAGGGTCTAATTGAAACAATAAGTCAAGATTCTAAAGCTTGATTTACACAACCTTAAATTTATTCTGGGGCGTGCATTCGCGGCTACTAGCCAAAACTCATTCGATTACTCCTGATGTTATGAAGAATTATGTCACTAGCAATCTCAAAAATGTTTAGGGTCAATTCTTAATGATGACCCTTTTGATAATATAAGAAAGGATGATACTATGGGCATCTTTAGAAGTTGTGCAATATTAAATATGTGATGGACCGACCGATTTGATTGAGAGGAAATTAGGAAATTTTCTAATCAAGAAGGAATTGTTTAGGAAGGTTCTTAATCAAATGAAATTAACTAGTAGTTATTTTCTAATTGAAGAGAACATATTTGAGGGCAGATTTAGAAAGGATTAATTAGGAAATATTTTTTTAATTGAAGAGGACAGATTTGGGTACTGATTTGTAAGGGATTAATTAGGAAATGTTTCCTAATTGAAAAAGATAGATTTGGGGGCTGATTTTGGGGCTGATTAATTAGAAAATGTTTCCTAATTGAAGACAGCAAAAATAATTAAGAAAATAGGTGAAAATTGGGGAAGGGTTGTTTGGATATTTATTGTTTATTGTCTTCTTTAAATAGGTGATTTTCCTAGGATTAAGGGTATGTATTGGTTGCTGAAATTAGATTGTTCATAAGATGTTTGGGCTCTAGCCGGCAACTAGAGATTTGGGAGAGCCGGATCTTCCTTTCCAATTGAAGATCCCCTTGTATCTTGTATTTTTTTTCATAAAACTTTCGATAAAAAAGTGTTCATATGTGTTTTATTACTGAATTTCTTATCGTTGGTTTTCTAAAATTGCTGAAATCAGATTTCAGCGAAGACTTTTCCTAAATTTATACAAACTTTTCCTATAAATATGTTCGAAGTCTAAGGAGTTTAATATGACTTATACAACTTGATGATGAAACACATTCTATAACATTTGTTGGAGAATTAGGGAACATCACCAAAGGTGTAATATTTGTAGAGTGAATAAACAACTGTGGTACCCTTTATGTAAAAAAAAAATATTAGGCATATTATAACAATAGCAATGAATGATTTAAGAATTGATAGAAGACTTTGGCACTATAGGCTTAGACACATTAATAAGGAATGAAAGTATTTGGTAAGTGAAAAAAAAAAAAGAGTTTCTTTAAAGCTGTAAGGATTCTTAAGCCGGAGAAGTTGGAGCTTTAGCATATGGGTATGAATTTGATTTCCACACAGCAAAAATCAATGAGAAAGATTTTTATATCAACACAACAAACTAAGATACAAGTTGATCTACTATTCGAGAGGTAGATCGACTCTCCACAAATCCTAGAACAACTCCAAAGAAAACTACAGCCAAACACAATTCACATAGTGAAAAATAAAACAACCCAATTAACCCTAATATAAACCTTTCTAATTTCTTCTCAAATCTGAATTTAAACCAGCCCTCTTTCCCTAAATAAACCTTCTTCATTTCCTCCAAAATCTAATTTCAAATCAATCTTCTTTCTCTAAATAAACATTCTTAAATCCCTCTAGACTTTGGTTTTCTATGGTAAGCATTTAAAGGTAGAAAGAATCCCCTTTGAACCCCTCCCCCGGCCCCCCTCTATTTGCCTGCCGCCCACACTAGTAGGGCCCACAAGCTCAGTCAATCTATCAATACTCTCCTCCCAAAAGAGCCACCTTGTCCACCTTGAATCATCAGGTATGGTTCCCATGTTGCCCACAAGCTCCTACTATTGAGCAAACTCCTTTCACTTTCCTTGGCTCCAAGATCACCTCCATTCTTCTATCAAGGTCATCGACAACATCACTGGTGGATTGTGGTTGTCAATAACTTTCCTCAGCTCGGGCACATGGAACACTGGGTGTCTGGTGGAAGTAGGGGGTAGCTGCAAACGATACGCCATGACACCAATCCTCTCCCCATCCTCCTCTTCCAAACTCTACAGCTCTACCAAAAATCTCACTCCACCCCAGAATGCCCTCACCATAATTTTGGATTGGCTAGGACCCCCTTTAATAACCACTTTGATTTCCTCAACCTTGAACTCCATCGTTAGAGATTTCCAATCAATCCTAGTCTTCCCCAACTTATGCAACCACTTCATCCCCAATATCACAATGTGCTCCCCAAATATAATGGCAGAAAGTATTCCAATACCTGAACCTTTGGAAAGATTAAAATCACCCATTTGCAAATTCCTCTATTCCTCTCTACTTTTCATATTCCCAGCATGACCCCAAAGCCCCCATGTCCACTAATTTCAATCTCAATTGATTCACCATCCTGTTGGAAATGAAGTTGTGGGTCTCTTGATGCTCAATCTTCCCCTTAACCTTCATGCTATGGTTCGATGTGATCCTAACCACTAAGTTAAGGGATACCTCTCCAACATCTAAGTGTAGGTGATCATCTTCCTCCTCTAGTTCCTCTTTTGCAGTATCTTCCTCCTCATCGCAGATTGTCAGGACCTAAAAAGAAAGGTCCTTACAATGGTGGCCTAGAGAGAACTTCTCATTACACCTAAAGCATAAAACCATGGCCCTCTTCTCCTGAATTTCTGACTCAGTCAACCTCTTGAAGTTCCCACTGGTCGTGCTCCATGAACTCTATCCCTCGGGACTTCCTACTGAATAGGCATCATTTACACCTTTGGTGTCAGAAATGTAGCGGTCATGCAATAGGAGACTCAAAAATTGTTGCTACAGCTACTCCTCTCAAAAGAGTTCTTATCCTCCACCAATTGAGCTAACTTCATAGCCTCGCTTAAGCCACGTGATCTTAATACTCAAACAGCTGCTTGAATATCAGGCTTGAACCCTTTCATAAAGTTCCCCCTAACACAATCTCTCTGACAATGAACTCCCTCCATGATCAAATTGGATCTCACAAGTCTCTCCACTGGTACCAAGGCAGAGCCTTCCCTTCTAGATATAGAGTGTTTGCCCTAAGTTTTTTATCTTTTGTTAATCTGTTTAAAACAAAATATCGCTCCACCCTATAAATCCACCCGTGAGCTCTCCCTCAAAAATCAGCATCTTCAACTTTCTCACTTAGGATAACCACCACCCAAATAGTTTTTTCCTCCTCCAATGTAGTAGGTGTTGTGATCCCTCCATGTTTCCCCCTCTACCCCAAATCAACTCTCTGATCTTCATCATTCAAATTTCTTCGTTGGTCATACTCTTCAACCGTTTAGCTCCTTGGAAGTGGCTCCAAAGGTGACAACTACTCTTCTTCCCACAAAATTTTAACCTCACAATCCTCCCTCATCTTCCCTATATTAAGGTTTCCCCCAATTCCTTATTTGGTCAATGGTGCCCTTGCCTCCAATGATGCAGTTTTGGCTTGAAACTCTAACATCATTTTCATCATCTCTACCAAATTCAAAAATCTACTCTTAGTTGTTGAAATTTGCTCTCCGAATTTGGATTTCAAATTTCCAACTTCCTCATCAAGCCTCTCCTCCAACGCATCAATCTTCTTAGCCATCATAGGTCCCAAAAAAGATGCTCATATACAAATTTGATAGAAATGTAATTTCCACAAAGCAAAAAAATAATAACAAGAAAAAACACAGCATAAATCAACGAAAAATATTTTTATATCAGCACAATAAATCATGATACAAGTTGATCTACTATTCGAGAGGTAGATCGACACTCTACAAACCCTAGGCATCGCTAGGAACAACTCCAGAGAAAACTATAGCGAAACACAATTCATATAATGAAAATAAAACAATTCAATTAACCCTAATACAAACCTTCCTACTTCTCTCCCAAATCTGAGTTCAAACCAGCTCTCTTTTCCTAGATAAACCACCTTTCTAATTTCCTCCCAAATCTGAAATCAAATTAGTCATCTTTACCTAAATAAACATTCTTAACTCCCTCCCAAATCTAAATTCAAATCAACCCTCTTTCCCTAAATAAACCTTCCTAATTCCCTCCCAATTTTGATTTTTTATGGTAAAGAATTAAAGGTAGATTTAATCCCCTTTGAGCTCTCTCCTTGCCCACAGCTCGTAGGCTCAGCCGGTCCATTATATATATATATATATATATAAAGAGAGAGGGTGTGTGTCTCATCTTAAGTAAAACAAGAGGTTTTTTTTTTTTTTTTTTTTTTTCTTTTAAATTTTTGATAATAATGGTGAAAATGATAACCAAAAATTCAATGGTTTATGTGCAACAAATGGCAGTTGAATGAAAAGAATTATTACAAGAATAGCACAACAGGATAATTTTGTAGAGCATATAAATGGAGCTTTGAATGTGATGCCATGAGCATGAGAGTTTACATGTTGAATTGCCTAATATCTTTTGGATAGACATAGTAACCAAACAATCCTACTTGATCAACCAACATTTGTTCTCTACTAGAAGTTTGGACAAATAGAAAGGTAAATTTCTCATGCATAAAAGTATTCAATTGTGTTCCTTGTGTTCACTAAATTTTAGACAACCTAGAAAAAATTATTTTAAAATTAAGAAGCTTATTTTCCTGGCAATGACCAGAATGAATTTGATTATAGTTTTTTGGGTGACAAAAAATGGAATGTCCTAAAAAAAATTTAAATATTTGATGAAGCTACTGGTTATAAAGATCAATTAAATTATATAAATATACAAGTAAAACAAAAACACAATGCACGTATGCTTGTGATTATAAGATCCAATTAAAATTCTAAACTTAATTGATAGTATTCTCCATCTTGTAATACTTGTTAATTACTGAAGATGAAGAGCCAAGGTAATTAACTCAAATAATGCAAGCTGATGAGATGGAAAGAAAAATCGGACAAGATCATAAAAAGATGAGATTAAGTAGTTTCATTAGAATCGGACAAGAGCATCAAGTATATTATTCAAAGAAAAATGTTGCAAAACAAGAAGAATTAATGTGGAAAGGAAGAACAATATGGAAATAAAAAATACAAGGCAATGTTGGTTGGTATGAGCTTCTAATAAAGACAATATATTGATTATACTAATATTTTTCTCATCACATGTGATTAACAATTCGACTACTTAGTTACTATGAAATTATCAATATCCATCAAGTCCATATCCATTAAATTCTGCCTCCATAAATGTTCCATAGAGTCTAGCATTCCACCTTTCTTACTCATTTCATCCTACCTCAGTGATCCGTGGGATTATTAGTACCAGCTCATCAATTTGATGACTATTATAATTATTCTATAATTATTATTCTACCACATAATCAATATGTAAACTATTGAAATTATTATTCCCTAATTTTATATGATTCCTATTAGAAGCACTTCTAAGATCGTATAACATTGGAATGAAATACTTAACTAATTCTCCCTAATAATTTTCATGGTATCAAAGCTTTAGGCTTTCTTATTAGCATTTCCATGAGTGCATCCTTCATCATTGCATCGCCCATAACTAGCAAGCCCTCATTATTGCATGTCTTGTTTTGTTCCTCCTAATCTTCTTAGTTGTAGCATTCATCATTGCAGCATTATCTCTATCATTCTTTCACTTTGCAACACATTACTAGCGCATTTTTCATTTCTATGGATAACAAAAACACCAACGTTCCTTTTGTCTTAAATTCATTTGGAACTATGACTGGAAACCCAAATCCAATAAGAGAGCTAATAAAACATTCATTCAACACATCATTTTAATGAAAAGAATTATCTCAAGTGATTACAATAGGTTCACACCTTGAAGGGGGAGAAATATTGAGCCATTTACTCAACACCGGATCTCAACAAGGTAATCCAACATTCAATACTTGAGATGAACAGGAATCAATGGTGAGGCCCTAATTATGGAACTCCATAATTCTTAAAATAAGTGACATCCGTATGTTCCTTCCTTTAGCAAATGAAATTTGGGATATGGTAAATTAAATGAACACTACAGTCTGTAATGTTACTTGAATCTATGAGATCAAAACCTAAATCTTGACCACAGTGCAAGAAGGATGATCCATCATAAAAAACTTTAATCTATTAGAAGGCCTTTTGCAATAGATGGAATCATCATCAATGCACCCAGATGGAATGCAGCAAAAAATGCAACCCCTCCTAAAATGTATGCTAAAAAAGGCCAAATTTATGATTTTACTGTTAGATTAAAGTATGATTTAATGTAGCAATGGTGCAAATTCTCGGGAAAGGAGATTTATCTTGCCTAAAAGAATTCATTACCAACATTTTAATGGAGGATGTGAGAAGGGGAATTATGATTCCCAATAACCCTATCAAAGGATCAGACAATTGCAACCAATATTAAACAACAAAGATAATTAATACAGAGTCTGTAAGGTGCACATAACACAAGAAAGCTTGATATACAAAAAAGAAAGATGTTGGAAACTTCATGATAAGGACCAAGTAAAAATTGGACATTACTAAGAGGACAAGCAAAATAACAAACATGTATATCTACCCTATGTGAAAGAAGATAATACCAAAAATTCTCCCATTAAGTTCCATAAAGAAGAAATAAAAAGTAGAAAAAAATTGTTGGCATGACTAGACAAGACTTCTACCACAAGTACGTGTTATCTTGCATTCTTAAATATTACCTCTTTTCCCATGCTTTAAAAGCTTTGGAGATGTCCAATCATAGCTCCTGGATTATTAATTCAGGAATTACATGCCATATAAACAACCCTTCACACAATTTTATTTAATATACTCATTCTTCTAGCAATAAGAAAATAATCATTGCCGATCATTGACCACCGTTGTTGGCCAATAAGGCATTATTATAAACAAAATCTTTATACTTCAAAATGTCATCCCCATACCTAAATTAGTCATCAACTTGTCATATATACCCAAAAATTAACTATATATATTTAAATACAATTTATATAAACCAATGTTAAAATTGCGTATACGGGTATTAAGGCATTTTTCATTCGTGAGGCGAGGCATAAGCCTAAAGGAGTTTTGAGGCGTAAGCCTCAAAATCAAAAGATTGCGTAAACATAAAATAATAAATTTTTTATATACTAATGAGTGAATAATATAAAACATAAAAAAACATAAGATATGAAGTGAAATCAAAATATTCCAATAATAAGATAACATGAAATATAGTTCAACTCAAAATTCTATCTTTCCCAAATCCTAGTATTCTTTTTATTAACATATAATTCAAATTTTCAAAAAAAAAAAAATAGCAATGACATATCACATAATAACTCATAAGTCATCAACACTATCATCACTAAAGGGTTCTTCATTTGAATCATCATTATGATGAACTACTCTCTCCTCTTCCTCCTCTCCTATAGAGCTCAATGTCGGGCATTTACTTCAAGATTTATGTAAATTTTAATATATATAGCGTAAGGCGTAAGCCTCGTGCCAGTGAGGCAAGGCGGGCCTCAACCAAGTTGAGGTGCAAGCCTCATAAAAAAAACTCGAGGCGTAAGCATCGAGAAGTTTTTTACTGGAATTGCGCAAAGGCAGGCCTCAAGGCGAGCCTCATATTGCGCAATTTTAAACCATGATATAAACTCCTCATGCGTCCAATTCAAAACAAAAGGTATCTTATCAATGCTCTAGGGCGCCTACTTTATTTTCTTAAATATGTAAGAAATTGGATCTAATAGATATATATGCCTCAAACTTGAGGAAGAGTGTTGGCATATTAAGTTATACAGACAAAATAAGTAGGACTTATACAATTTAATATCATCATAATTAGGGGAATTACTCTTATTTATAATTTTTATACTTTCATGCATGTCAATTTATAAGTCTCACATATTCAATTAATAATACAAAAAATTCATTTTCCTCAATAGAAACCAAATATAAATCAACCCAAAATTGCAATCCTAACAAATAACTCAAATTCAAACTAAAAGTATCCAAAATATAATCATGCTAATTTAAACTAATAAATCCAAAAATCTTACTATAAATGAAATTACTGAAATAACTCACATAATATTATAAAAATAAGAGAAATACTATTTGCTGTGCTCCATTAACATTCCAATGTTCACTTGATTGCTTGAAACATCTGCAATCACATGCAAGCAAATGAATGCATAGTGTTTGAGCACATGCAAAATACATTAAGTGTTTCAGTTAATACTTTCTTTCCAAAATAGATTATAGATCCGTGTGTTTAACTCTAGAAGCACGTCAACCAATCTTTCATCAACTAAGAAATAATTTACAAGAAGATTAATAAAAGATACAGAATTCATCCAGTTCCAAATTTATGTCTAAGGTTCTTTAAGAATATACTAGAATAGAATATCAAGAAAATAAACTTAAACATGAAGGAAAACTTTGGAAGAAAAGGATGAAAGGCTCGTGCATGTTAATTAACTAAATGTACCTTTCGCTTTTTAAATCTTTTCCCTGCACCACCATTGTTAATATAAAGAGTGTTCTCCTTTTCTTTCTCCTCTAAAGGCAGTGTTCTAATCTCATTATGGAAATCATCCGTCAAGGAAAGTAATCTGTGTACAAGAAAGTAAAGACAAATTAAGATTAATTAAGCATATGCATTCCCCCAATCCAAATTACATAAAGAATTTAAGATTGTGTAATATGAACCAGCAACAATAACAATAACATCATCATCAAGCCTTTATCTCACTACATGGGGTCTGCTAAATGAATCTTTTTTCTACATTGTATAATATACACCAAGAGAATCTTAAAATAACATTATATGAATTTCATATTCATTATCGTCTGGTATCAGAAGCTCTACTTGAAACTTTTTTTTTTTTTTAAACATAGACTTCATAATAGGTTCCTAATACAAAGTGGATTCAGTAGATTAAAAACCAGCAGAAAGAAAGAATAAATATCAATTTTCTATTAGTTTTAGAATAAGAAGTTATTTAAAATATAAAGTTCAACCTATGAAATATCAGCATCTAGGGAATATAGCTCACATTAACTTTTGCCCGATGGAATTCCTCAAATTAAAATTGAAGAAATTAAATAATCTCTCTTATTAAAATTTCATGGCCGTTTGGAACTTGTTCTATTACATTAATTAAAAGGATAGTTCATGCCCGAGTAAATTTGACTATAATTAACTTTCAGTACCAGAAATTCTTATAAACCATCAGTAGTAGGAATTGCCATTGATTCCAACTTAGATAAACCTCTTTGAACAAGTTAAATCTAAACAACAACCAGGAAAGTAAAACCATATGACATTATGCTCTGTGGATCCTATGAGGGATAAACAAATTTTTTAAATTTTTCCAATTATCAATTGCTGTGCATTTTACTCACTAAACATCATCAGATCTCCCAATTAAATTAATTTAGAGAATAGGTAGGAAAAATTGAAACTTGCGATGTTGATGGAAGTTGTAAAAAATTGGCAATTATTGATAAGCATATAGTAAAATAAAAGCAATTTGCAAAAAGTGTTGTGCCATGTAAGCTGATGCAACTATTTAAACAGTACCCGTTCCTTGAATTCTTCATGTACTTCTCAACTCTTTTCTCTCGTTTTGTAACTGGAGCACGAGTGAAGAGTTCTTCTTCTCGCTGAGCTTGCTCTTCACGCTTAGCTATATACCTCGAAAGTTCTCTGCTTTCAGATCCAACAATTTCCCTTACCTAAAGTTGAATTTCAATATGCATGGCAGATTACTAGGAAGAAAAAGAAGAGCAATCCATTTATGAATCAATATATAATGAATATTCAAACAACCTCTTCAGGTTTATCTTCAAACTCATCCATAAGTTCTTTCATGTAAGAACTTTGCTTTGTCTGCCGCAACAATGCTTTGTCCCTCCTTAAGGCCTGTTTCTCTTCTTTTGACATCTTATCATCATCCATGCTTGTAGGTGCAAATTTTGGGGGCCGGTATACACCACCAATATCCTAAGTAAAAACAACAAAATGACTCATAGGCATAATTTCATTTCAATAAATCAATCGAATGTGTACAGAACGACGAGAAGTGCGGACAATACATTTTGGAATAGATTTGTTTGAAGAGTGGAAAAAATGAAATGTACATCATCAGAAGAAAGAAGGCACGCACCTTATGCAATAAATATAGGTCATGAGGATTAAAAAAAGAATGTCTATATAAGTATAATGGAAAAATAATAATAATATCACCAGGTAAAAGAATGGTAGTATTTTTAAGTATCTATGAAGAGGAAAACAAAGAAGCTTCTTCTCACCATATCAATAACATCAAAAACTCTAAGTTTCCAAGAAATCAACAAGAAAATAGGAAGCTACCAAAACGCTGTAAACACTAAATATCAATCTGAATACAGGATATAATAAGTGCAACTACATGAATAAATGTGATAAAATTCAACTTCACACACATACTTCATTCATAAGCCATCACTAAGGAAAACAAAAAGAAAACAAATGCAGTAATTGATAAAGGAAATCTAAAAGTTTCACAATTCTCCATCTAATCACCTTCTGAGCCTGGCTTGTTTTGCTAGCAAGCATATCCGGGTTTGGGCGGTACCTCAACGGATCTTCTTCTCGAGATTCTACCTTCTTCTGTTCCTCGTGAACCTGCAATGCTTTCCCTGCAGGAGCGCCACCAGTAGCAGCTCTTGTAAGCTTTTGAACTTGATATTCAAGCTTTTTATCAATTGGCCGAATCTACAACACAAAATGCCAAAATTAGGAAACAAAAACCCTTTTTTTTCTGAATGTTTGCCTACAGAAGCACAATTTTAAATGGTGTTTACCAACTACGCTAACTAACACCAAACAAGAACTTTATCAATTAACATAATAGAAAACCATATGTTATCACCACAGACCTTCTCAAGAAACAGTCTGATCTCCACAAGACTTCTGACAACAGGATGGCCCTCAATCGACAACCCTTTGGCCTTACGAAGAGTATAGTAGACTATGGATTGACAATAATTTAGAAGAAGTAAATGTTTCACTTCTAGATAGCTCATACCATCTGAGGTGGGTAGTTGGCTCTGCTTAACCTAATGGAGAAACCAAATCATAGGATTTCTAAAAACAAAAAATAAGACCAGAAGAAGGCTTTATGAGAAACTGCGATAACCTTCTCTGTCAAGGCTTGCACTTTGCTCCTCACGGTATCTAGTCCGTCCTTCATCTCTTTGAGCAAAGAGACGAGTTGAGGAGTTTCCCTGGATTACAGCATTGAAGATAACATTATAAGAAGATGAGAGAGGAGAAGATAAACACTATTGTGTATCCTGATAATCAAAAGGGAATTGGAGATAACCTGGCAATGGTTTCCTCACTGAGATCACCCTGCTCAACCATTTGCGGCGCTACAACCAAAGAAGCCGGGGAATAAAGAAGAAAGGAGCTTGTTTTGAAAAGGTGCCGCGCTTTACGGTATCGAATGGTTCTCCCAAAATACCGCCTTTCACGAAGTTAGGACAGAGCAAGAGGAGAGAATGAAGAAGAAGAGGAGGTGGGTGCAACTCTACGCTTTGCGGTTACGGAGCCGAACGTGAACGGCTGCGAAGAAGAAGGTCAAACGGTTAACGACATCTGAGGAGTTGTTTGGTATCGGATTTGAAGCAGGATCTGCGGAAAATCAGACATCTTAAGGGCTGTTTGGCAACAGGATTTATGCTGGATTTGAGTAGGATTTATGCTAATTCCTGCCAAACAGGATTTAGCCAGCCGGTAGATCTCACGGCGGAATAAATCCTCTGTTTCCCTCTTTTTTCCATAAATCCTGGATATACTAAATCCTGGAGTTCCGCGGATTAACGGGATTTGGCTGAAGAAGCGGGCGAAAGGGAGAACGATAGTTATTTTCACAGCGAGCGAGCGAGCGAGCTCCCGTCGATACGTCCAATCCAACAGGAAGAACGGCGAACTTTCGCGACTTCCGATTGGACAGTAAGGAACGCCGTCGAAGGAGGCGAAGAAGATTTTAGCCACTCGTTCAAAACCCTACCTTACGTGAACGTGAAGCTGGCATTCTAAGGTTTTTCTGTGACGGTTTTTTTTACTGCTTATTAAATTAGTTCTTACTAAAAAATTTTAAATTTTATAGTTAAAAACTTAAAATAACTATTTTGAGAATCAATAAAAAAGTCATCCTAAACGAAGACTAACATAATAGAAGAAAAGAGCAGATCAACATTAATGATTTAGGAATTAATTTAAATAATTTAATTAATACAAATTAAAAAAATTAAAAAAAAAAAGATATTTAATAATATAAATAATAATTAAATAATAAATTAGAAAATTAATATTCTAAATGATAATTAGATAACTATTCAAAATAATAATAGTAGTTCTATAATTAGTAAAGTTATCAATATTTATAATAATAATTAGATAATTAAGTTAGTTAATATCTCGAAGTTATATTATTAGTTAAGTTAGACAATTAATCTTCTAAATAATAATTCTATTATTAGTTAAATTATTTAATAGTTAAATGAGTTTGTAATTATATTATTTATAGTTGTAATTTATTAATGATAATTTAAATTAAAATGAATAAGTAACTTGTATTATAAATATAAATTTAATTTAATTTTGTAATAAACTAACTACCTTATATCTAGAAGTACATTGTCAAATAGTTCCATGAGACTTAACACTTTTCTTGCCAAATAGTTTTAAATCCTACTTGTTGCAAAATAGCCTCTAAATCTCACAGTAAATTAAATCCTTTATTTCTCATCTTTTCGGTAAATCTCGAATTAAATCATATGGTTCGTTTATGGGGATCTATGGGACTTGGCCGAAGAAAAGCGCAAAAGGAGAGAAAGATGGCTATCGTCATAGCGAGCAAGCTCAACGTCAATAAAGGAGGCAGAGAAGCTTTTAAAAACTCTACCTTACGTAGCCAGGCAAAAGCGAAACTCTAAAGCTTCATCTACGGCTACTCTTCAGCCATCCATGCCCTTGACAAACATTCTTATACCTCCACAGCTTAAATTCCTAATGTCCAATATTAAATATGTTCTTAATGTTCAACTCATCACCACAAATTATCTTGTATGGCATTCACATACATTTTAAAAATTTGAAGCAAATTGCTTTACTGTTTATCTAGATGGCTCCATCCCAAATTCCCTAAACATCAACACATTTCCTATAACTCTGTGTTGTTGATCCCTCTTATGATACTTGGTAGCTTATAAATCAAAATCTTCTAGCAGCTCTTTTTCCTAATATATTCCCATCTATGTTGCCATATGTACTCAATCTTGAGTCATGTTCTGAAATTTAACTCATGCTAGAACGATGCCTGCAATCTACAAATAGGTTATGTATTCTATAACTTAAGAATGAGCTTCATCAACTCCAAATGTGGAATAAATCTATGGTCCAATGCCTATTTGAGATCAGACAACATGTTGATGCAGTCAACGTTGCCAGTTCTCACATAGACTCCGAAGATAGTAATCATGTATACATTTAATGATCTACGCATACAACTCCTTTAAAACTGCAATCCTCACTAAATTGCATCTTGTTAGTTTAGATGATTTTTATGCTTTGTTATGCAGCGAGGAAGTAAATATTTTCAATGAACAATCTTTGGAATATCACATGGTTTCTCCAACAATTTCTACATTTGTTCTTGCCATTTTTGGTGGCCCTTCTTATGGATCATCTTGTGGTCACTCTACTACTTACCATGGTGGACGCTCCTCATCTACATCTCGTGGTGGTAGATGTCTGTTTGCTTCAGTTGTTTGTCTAATCTATGGAAAAACAGGCCATTTAGCGGCTTCTTGTTGGCATCGATCAAATCTCTCTTATAGGTCTGTAGCCCAAGCATTTGTGCACAAGAAGATGTGTCTACTGTCGATTGGTTCTTGGATTCAGGCGCATCAACCCATCTCACATCCTATGCTTCACAACTTCAATCACTTCAGCCTTACTCTGACAACTCTCAAGTGCAAGTTGGAAAAGGCAATTAGCTTCCAATTGCTCACTCCGATCAAGACATCATGCCTACACTATCTCATAAGCTCGATTTACCTCAAATTCTTTATGTTTCCCATCTTACTCATCATCTCCTCTCAATTCATCATCTTCTTAATCACAATGCTTGTTACATTATATTTGACATTGTTGGTTTCACTTTACTTGTGATTTTATATTGATGATGTACCCTTTATAGGGAACAACCAAATCGAGATTGATAAACTTCAGTAGAATTTAAGCATAAAATTTCTTCTGCAAAATTTGGGGCATATTTCCCATTTTTTTGTCATCTTACCCATCATTTTATAAGTCTACACTTATGCCAGTCTCAGTACATCACTAATGTGTTGAACAAAGATGGAATGCTAACTTGCAAACAAGTGCAAAGCCCTTTACTGTCCAAGCTACCAACACCTACAAATAATTCAGACTTATTCAACAACATGAAGTTTACAGAAAACTTGTTGGCTCTCTTCAGTATCTCATAATTACCAAGCCAAACATTGCATTTGCAGTCAACCACCTATGCCAACACATGCACAAACCATATCAAATCCATTTCCAACTGCTGAAACGAGTGCTGAGATATCTCAATGGTACCATCAACTATGCTCTACATATTTTGAAATCATTTCTTCAACAACATGCTCATGCAAACTCTTATTATGTCACTAATACCATTGATCGTCAATTAATCACTAGGTTATGTACATTTCTTGGCACAAGTCTATTATCCTGGTCAGTCAAAAAACAATCTACCAAAGAAAAAAAAATTTTTTTTGAAAGAATTAAGGGTATAGCCCATCTATTTTAAAAAAATAAATATAACAAACAAAGCCTCAGTACAATTCATGGGGACTAAAAATAAAGTGCAAGAGCTGTACAAAAAGATACGCAAAGCCCAAGTAGTGTAAGGAAAAGAAAAGCTAAGGTGTTAATAAATCAAAATAAAAGGATCCCACTCAATAACAGCAAATGCGGGAACAACCAGACTCAGACGGCCCAAAACATCACCCATATAGTTCAGGAAAAAAAAAAACATCCAAACATCCCCCGATTGCCAAACGAAGTCTTAATCAGTAACGAGTATGAGGTTAAGAAATGCCAAATTAAAGAGCAATTGAAACTTGAAAGCAAAGGTAAGATCATAAAAGGCCTCAATACCAAGGCCACCAAACTTCAAAGGCTTACATGTGTTCTTCCAGGAAGATATAAATAATTATTAATTAGTTTTTTTTAATACTAATCAAATGCTAAATAATAATTAAATATTATATTAAATAATTACCAATCTAATTAATTCAACACACATAAATAAAATAGTAAGACCAAAAATTATATTACGTGAAAAATATGGAAAGGGAAAAAACCACGGGGCTTAGTTCAATTATAAAAAATCCATTATAGAGTAGGTGATACAAGAATCCTTCATTTCTCACAGGTTAAAGAAGAGGAGATTCTTTGAAAACAAATATCTGATTTTTCTTGAGGGGGATCAAAAAGTTCAGAAAAAAAAAAAAACATCCAAACATCCCTCGATTGCCATAGCAAAAGACTTACTTCGAAGGCCGTCCAGGATGGAGCCGGCAAGAGCCGGGGAGAACAAAAACCAATCATCATAGTCCAGTGTTTCAAAGCATCAAAGATTCTGCAAAAGGCTTTTGCATATTGGCTATTATTCCAACTTGAAATTTTTTTCTTGATCGCTTGTTTAGGGCATCTCCAACCAAAAATCTCAAAAAAAATGGCATGATTCATCTCCAATCAAATTCCATTTTGTGCCCAGGTAACCGTTTTTTTCCTTCGCGCGTTTCTTCGGCAAATCCTGTTGAGATAGAAATATAATGCAGTTGAACAGTTCAACGTCAATATTGATGTCGCACTGTTCACCTGCAAACAAATACCATAAGTTTTGTCGTTTGGCTGGAGCTCGTGAGCGACGCCACTCACGCATTTGGAGTTCGGTTACAGAGAGTTACACAGGTTGCAACAAGTTAGCGCAGGAATACCCCTAAAGATAAGAGCATCAGCGGTCTTTAACCTCCCAATCATAGCCACCCAAGCAAAGCCGGAGACTAAAGAATAACATTTATGTCAAATGCACTTAAACCAAGAAACTTGTTGAATATCAACAAACAGTGCAGATTTAAATTTCTGAATCTTAGGACTTTGATCACCAGACCAGAAAATTGAAGCCCCATTATCATTAATCACATGATATCCAACCAACAAATCATGAATATGACCCAGCAAATTGGCAGGAAAGCACCAAACTCCATCAAAAATAAAGTCAAAGACACTGGCATTCAAAAAAAGATGTGGTAGAACTGCAGAAGAAAGGAAGAAACCCCCAGTTCCATTAATGAATTGCCATTCAACTAAGGCTCCGTTTGGGACAGTTTTCAGCAACTACTTTTTTATACTTTCAAGAGATTTTTTACTAAAAAATAACTTTACAAAAGCAATTGAAAAGCCATCCCAAACACCCAAAGGAAGCCCAAGTGTCCTGGCATAATGAAAAATTGCTTCTATTGTTGAGTTTGAAGGAAAGTAAGTCTTTAACTCTCCCAGCCACCCCTTGAAGCATTTTCCAAACCTGAGAAGGTTTAGAATTCCGAAAATACCAGAGGGAAATGTATTTTTCTTTCCCCCACTTAACTATAAGCGAACAGAATACATGTATTTACTTATATGCCATTTACAGTCTATTTAAGCATTGTAATACTGTAGCAAATTTATCCATTCAATACAATTCATTTTCTTTCTCTCTCTCTCACTGTCCATCTTCTTGGACGTTCCTCTTCTTTACTCATATGGTATCAGAGCCTCAAATGGCTGATCAAGAATCGACCAACACCACCACCTCCCCTCATCTCTCCGGCCAACCGTCTACCGACATCATCATTCCACCACAGCTCAAGTTCCTCATCTCCAACATCAAGAACCTCATTCCCCACGCCCTCACCGCCGATAACTACGCCATCTGGCGCATTCAGGTTCTTCAACAATTCACTGCCAACAGTTATGCCGGAC